CAAACTATCATCAAAATATCAACTTTTCATGAATTGAGAGCACTGATGTACTTAATTTCAATTAAAGCTATGTTTTGGACCATATTTAGCACAATTTATTTTTTATCTCGAAAACAGATAGAGATAGGTATAGGACATTATCAACAAAAAAGTATTAAAATACTAGAGTGATTCCAAAAATGTATTAATATACGGAGTGTTCCATTTAAAAAAATATAATTGCTAGGACTTTTTGATAGAAGTGACAACGCCGCAATGCTGAAAATATTTTAGATCGATAGAACAGGTAAGGAAATGTGAGAGGTGAAATTTTCAGAAAAATCATACTTTGCGTTTTCCAGAAACGTCTAACCTATCATCAATCGTGAGTCACGCTGTATATTTTTCCTGTTTCAAATCATCAATGTACCTTTAAAATCAAACTTCATTCTGATAGAAATTTCTATGAAAGGTAAGTTACTGTATTTCCTGAGTTCACTTCATTACAAAAGTAGAGTAAGGTCGATGATTGTCATACTTCATAACCAGCTCTATTTTCAATCTAGCTTGATTGTATGTTATAATGACATGGGTCCTAATGAGTGACTTCAGTTAGGTTAGGTTAGGTTAGGTCCAAAGTAAGTGGCACTATTCGACCCTCCATCTCAACCCGCAAGGGTTTATTGTGGCTCACACTTATTCACACTCCACCAAATAAATCCAGCTTCTCAACGAAGCCGATTAGTTTGTATGGTGAGTGGTCTTTCAGGTCAGATGTTAAGAGTACGGCTCTGCCGAACTCCAAAAACCTGATTCGGTCCCCAGCGGGGCAGGACCAAATTATATGATCTGCTGTTTCATCATTAATGGGGTAGTCGGATAGTCAATACTGGAAGTACGACCCCTTTCATTCGAATCAATACTATCAACCACATTTCTTTTTCAGTTTCGTCACTTCACAACCATCTTGGGCTACCAGATTGGAAAATACCCTGCCAGCAGGGAGAACTGAAGTGCGATTCACTGCTGTATCACCAAGTGACTTCAACAGCTCAGCCTCATGTCATCTCGTTATCAACGTGTTGGACAAAGAGCTGCCGAAGATAATGATGTGTCCGGAGAATATAGAAAGAACCCTTGGTAAGGGCGAACATATGCAGATTGTTCATTGGAGGGAACCAGAGTTTCACGATAACGTGGGAATAGCCACGGTTTACAAGTCTAGGGTGAGAGTGATTAATTTGTTCTAAATTTTGGTTTTTTTCATGAAAATTATAACTTTCAGGAACCTGGTAGCGAATTTGGACTGGGCTTACATCATATCACTTACGTAGCAAGTGATGAAGCTGGAAACAGAGCTTTTTGTCATTTCAGTATCAATGTAAGGGGTGAGTACATTTTCAGGTTTAATTCTAGTTGAACCCGCACAGGTTCAATACTGATACTCAATGTATCTACATATAAACGTGTGCCATCCCTGCTAATCATAAATTTCTATATGGCGAAGCGCGACCTTTGTTATTCATAGGCACGCCCTCCCCCCAATGGTCGGCACTGCCGCAACCGCTACGTCTCTGCAACTCAAATCTGTAATATCTTACTTGCTGTTGAGGGCCATATTGATCTATAATAAGAGCACAATGCATTTGATGTACTTAATTGGATAAGGATTAATGCTGTATTTCTTAAAATCACTTCGTAAATAAGCCATTCTCCAGGATAGAAAATGGTAATTGTGAGTTATCCCCAAGAGCTAGACGTATTTCATCGCGGACTTAATTGTAGACTTTTCTAAGGTGTACAATTCTGTTGTACATTATTTTGATCTATCTCGTAGAGTTCAGCCAGCGTTTGCAACGTAAGGGCAAAAAGTGTTTCATTACGATATCACATTAGAAACCTCTAAAATTATCAGTGTCTCTTTACTAGATTATGTGTGTTATACACATATAAACCTTCCTCTCGTATCAAAATCCGTTACTTAGTTTCAAAAATGTATATCGTAGGGTTCAGCCAGCGTTTACAGTGTAAGCGCAAAAAGTGTTTAATTACGACATCACATTAGAAACCTCTGAAATTATCAGTGTTTCTTTAGTGGATTATGTATGTTATATACACATGAGTCACTCTATCTATTGAAAAACCCTGCATGAAAATCCGTTGCTTAGTTTTAAAGATCTAGCTTGTAGGGTTTAGACAGCGTTTGCAAAGTAAGCGCAAAAATATGTTCATTTACGACATCACATTAGAAACGTCTAAAATTATCAGTGTTTCTTTACTACATTATCCACGTTATATACATATAAACCTTCCTTTTAAATTACTCTATCTATTGAAAAAACTCGCATCAACATACACAGGAACAGACATCGGGAAACGACTTTGTTTTGTGCTTTGCTGTGATAAACGATGCGTCAGTCTATTCAGAATTTAACAATTTAAGACTTGCTATGTTTATCATAAGACTTTTATACATACGTTCAGCATTCATGATTGAGTCTAAATAATAGTACTCAGTACGTTTTTCCACCCACAAGCTACATATGCCTAATAGCGATGCACACTTGCTCTTGTAGAGAGGCAACTGGAGGAACTGCCGGTGTAAATATGGCACAAACATCTATAATTTTGTTTTGTAGATCTTGAACAATGTCAGATTCAGTATTACAAACACCATATCTTAAATGACCTCACAAAAATAAATCTAGAGGAATCAAATCTGCAGAGCGCGTGGGTCACTGAATCGAACCTCTTCAATCTACGTACGTAGCAATCAAATGCCTCCTGACAATGTTTTTCCAATGAAACACCGAGAAATACCGAGGTACACCTGTTGAAATACCCTGAAAATGTGGACCAATTATGAGCATGGTTAATAACCCACAACAAATATTCATACCACATAATTCTTGTGTGTTTCCTACCTTCAGTGTTTATTTTCTATACACCAATGATGTGCATTTTGCCTATCTTCGTGCACTACACTGATGTATGGAAATGATTCATAGAGTCGTTGTTTTTGGTTGTTTACCTTCAATTCCTGGGTCAAATCATGTTTGTACGAGTGCAGGCCCAAGTCCTTGTGAGCGACGCAAAATCGATTGTTTTGGATTCTTCCGCACACTCTCACAGACAGCAGCGATCTAGCATTGTAGGCTTTGTTATTCTAAGCAAGATACCTCACAGAGGTTATTCTTGAAGTATATTATTATTATACGAGTAGATCACCTGCATACCTGTTTCGAAGTATTACCTCTTATCAGTGCAGGAAAGCTCCGACCCAAACAGCAAAGTGCCTGGGTCTCGATTGATTTCAAAGTTGCTCAACTGCATGTATGAGACCTTTGTTCAAGAGAAAAATTATAACAGCTCGATCTCGTGATACTGATACTGTATATTAAAGTAAATGTATGCTCATAGTTTTCAGATAAAAATTTACCTGTTCGTACCTTTTATTAAAACGTAAGATGCCATTTGAAATAACAATTTGTCGTCACAGGTTCTCGATGATCGTTGTGACTAGCAATGTTATTTCTATGTTAAAAAAAAAATCTGTTTTTCCGTTAACCAGCTGTCGCACCCCTACGAACGACAGCCCTCAGAAGTCGAAACTTGTGCGAGCTAAGGATTAACGAGGTCTTACCTTTTAACGTGTGATTCCTAACACGGGTTGGACGGTAGCAAGTGAAGATCGATCGTTCAGACTAGGGCTTGAACCACCGACCAACACGGCAGTCAATTCGAGTGAGTGAACAAAGCACCCACGCCGAACCGCTTGGCTACCGACTGACTCTTTATGAAACTTTCAATTATCTTTGTTTATCATTCCATATTTTCAAAGATACAAGACACTGACTACTTTTTTCCCAGCGGTTTTACAGATATTGTGTTTTTATTCAGAGATATTGGTTGGAACATTTTAGAATAGTGACAAATGCTGTGGAAAGTTCTGGAACATTGTGGACCATTTCAAACCTTTTTATGGGAGGGGATACCCATTGGTAGTGGTATATAAAGCAGAATCCGTCGACCTCTCTCAATTTAACGTTCATATTTTCATTTTAACTACCATATGATCTCATATCTACTAATGTCGGGAGATTTTTCTCAGTGTCTATATTATGACAGATGCCTTCTCATAAATACACCGTTTAATTTAATGCTTATCAATTTCCAGATGATTTGCAATCTGAAGAATCGAACTCCATCAAACAACATCCAACCACATATGCCAATCATCAAACTACAGGAAAGTATAGAGCTGTATTGATCTGTCCAAGTGGCGTGCAATACATGTCAAGTCACCCAGATAACTACAACGTAAGTAATATCTTCCTCTTGAAGATGATCACTTGGTGATCGAAACACGTGTCGAAATGTTGAAATAACGTAATATTGATTTGAAAATACTGATTTTTTTTTCAGAACATGATAACAAGTGAAGCAGGGTGTTACTGGAGGCATGTCAGAGTGACCAGACCGATGCAACCACAGAACTACAGAGTACCCCCTAAAGTTCATTCAGAAAGCAGTTTACCCAGTCATATGAGGAGTAACAGAAGAGTATTTTTCAAGTGGAACCGATAGGGGGATTTTTTTACATGTTTCTAATCTTTTTGTTCTAGATAACTACTAGTTCAGTAAGAGCTAAACTGCCATAAAATAAGTTTTTCGAAAAACATTTCATAAATGTTCAGTATCATCATTGAGGCGGGTTCTTTGTGAATTTTATTATATAATAAACGGTAATATTGTTTCCAGTTGTGTGATTGGTTTTTATGAATCCCTTTTTTCTTTAGCCAGCTATCACTTCCTCACGAACAATAATCCTCAGAAGTCCAACCTTCTGCGAGTTGAGATGGAAAATGTCTTACCTTTTGATGCATGATTATTAGTGAATTTTATTTTATAATAAACGGTAATATTATTTCCAGTTGTATGATTGGTTTTTATGAATCCTTTTTTTCTTTAGCCAGCTATCACTTCCTCACGAACAATAATCCTGAGAAGTCCAACCTTCTGCGAGTTGAGATGGAAAATGTCTTACCTTTTGATGCATGATTATTAGTGAAGGTTTACTTGAGGTTGTGGAAGTTGAAAATACACTATTACAGAACTGAATTCATGTGGTTCTATACTTTTTTTGCTGATGATATAAGCCCCATACACCTAGTCTTCTTAAAATACCAATATCATTATAAAATCAATTTTATAAAACTCAAAACTAATATCTTTCTGGTTGGGATCTCATGAGTTGCATTTAAACTTCGATAAATATTGCTNACCCCACAGCTCTCGTTGAACATGAACATTTTTGTTTGAAGGTGGTTGACAAAGTTTCGTGGTTTATTTCATCAGTGCAGACTTCCATTGTCTTATATAATATAAATTGATTTGAAACCCCTGAAAAAAAATTAAAAAAGATTAACCGAAAGTAATAATTTTATCAAACAAAAAAAAAACTGAAATTACAAAGAAGTAATATACAAGCCAACAACCAAAGAAATAGAAAATTGAAATATTTATAAAAGCTGAAAATCAAAAAATATTATTGAAGAAAAATAAAAAGTGAAAAAATTAAAAGATTCCTAACCAAGTTACGTCACAACGTTTCGATTGTTAGTATTCACAAACGTCTTCGGGTGATAACTGGACTTATTCCTCCGAGATACGACTATTCATAGATCATTCGAGTGCTTTCAGCTATCCCCTCTATCCCCTCACCACTTCATTGGTTTTGGCGGGAGATGACCGTTTGGCGGGAGTTGGAAATCATCCTCTTTGTGGATGATTTCAGCTTGAGCCCACTTGATATTATGTTGATGAATCCAAACATGCTCTGCTATTCCAGATTTGCTGTTTCTTGTGCTCAGCAATGCGAACTTTCAGTGGCATCTTTTCACCGATGTATGATTCTCCGCACTCGCAGGGTATCCGGTATCTTGGAATCGCAGTCCGCGTTTGGTGGCCTGGTTTTCGTGAGGATGCTACGGATAGTGTTCCCAGATCTGGAACAGGTCCTGATGTTATACTTGGACCCAATCATTCTTATCCTTTCCGATAATCCTCTGATGTAGGGAAGTACAAGTACTGGTTGTGGCGGCTTCTCTTCCTTGTGGAGCTCTTGCTGTCTTCTAGCTATAGCCTGTTCTACCATCACTCTGGAGTAACCATTCCGTTGAAGGTCATTTTTGATGATGCCTAGTTCCTTTTCGAGACATTCCGTTGTATTATAGAGCCCGAAGGCACGGCCTAGTAGCGTCTTGATGATTCATCTCTTAGTTGATTGATGGTGGTTGGATTTCTGGTTCATAGACTGTCCTGTTTGGGTTGGTTTTCGATATACAGATGTTTTCCATTTAGTGTCGGTCCTCTTCACTATTATATTAGACAATGGCAGTCCGAACTGATGAAATGAACATTTTTTATTTCGATCATCCAACTATTCTAGATGTTCAACCATATTTATCCAAAAGACTTTCGAGCGAAATGATACATATCCTCAAATGCGATAGTGTTAACACTAGAAGAGATGTCGATGGCCTTAATAATGCATATTTCAATTGTAATTTGTAAAATACCTGAATACTTTACCCATTTTCAATTCTTTTTCTTTCTGCCGGTGATTTAAAAACAGACACCACCTTATATATTATCAACACGTGAGTAATTTAATTAAGAATCATTTCTTGTGAAATTGAAACGATAATAATCGTATGAGTTTTGTGGTAGGTATATTTATGAAAATTCATTGTTAATATTCAAGAATGGATCTTATGAAAGCACAATATATAATCTTTTTTGTTTCACTTGAAAAATCTGTAGAAATTCTCAACACAAAACCCAGCATATTGAGAATGTTTGCCACAATTTCGATACTTGAAGATTAAAATTAATTTCGCTATAAAATTTAACTACCAGATCGCGAATAAATGTTTCTCTTCTAAGAGCTATATTATTCAATATATATATTCGAAGAATATTGGACTTCTAATTTTAGCGAACGTAATGATTTGGCATTCATCAATGTTTAACTTCAACAAATTATTTGTACACCACATCGAAAAGACTTCGAGATCTTTTTGAACTAATTCAGCATCCTCCCGGTAAGTAATTGCTCGATAAAGTTTGAGATCATCAGCAAACATAAGAAATTCTGAATATTTTAAAAAGAAATTCTATGTCCGATACAAACAAGGTCAACAGCAGTGGGCCGATATGGGATCCCTGCGGTACCCCTGATGGAACCTGAATGGGCGTAGATGTTGTATTTTCGTATTCTACAGACACAGTTCTACCAGTTAAGAAGCTATTGATTACTTGCAAAATATTGAACTTAAAAATATAGTCGTCAATTGGAAAATGATATCAGCTTCTTCACATTTACTGAACTGTAACTACAGAAAGTAATGAGCAGTAATGTTTCAAAAAAATATGTATAACCTGCACGATCATTCGTGCAGGTTATTCGAATAAAATAAATGGACAAGTCAGAAGATAGCAAAAAAAGGTAATTGGATATTGGATAGCTTGGCTTCTTCCAAAAAGATAGTGTTTCACCAGATTTAGGCATATGCAATTCTTCAATTTTCATATTATTCGTAGATTTACATCTTCAGGGTTTTGAACTTCAACAATGAAACATTAAAAACAATAAAACTCACTTCTGCATTCTCCTTCTTGTCGCCCTTCCCATTCTCCATATAAACCACAGGTTAGACGGTATTCTCCAAACATTCTATAACCAACAGGGCAAACAAGTTCACACATGGTTCCTGGGCTGTTAGTTGTTCTTACTCGTCCATCTTGAGTATGCGACTTGTATGCTCCATTTCTTGAGCAAGTAATAAATCCTTTGGTTGGCGGGAATAATGGTTTGCAGGCAATATTATCCAAAGGCTGGTCATTTTGGAAATCGGGATGTCCTGTACACTGATAAGAACCGAGGGTATTGATGCAATGTTCTCCACAAAGTTTTTTGATATCTTCATCTTCGCATTCGTTTATATCTAAAAAGACTGACATGAGCACATATACCTACAATTTGATAACACAAATTCCAACCTCAATAGCCGCTGCTCCCTAATTACCTACCAAAACATAAGATCTACATAATTCCGTGCCTGGACTCGACAATTTTGGGTCACCAAAGGACCCCGATCATTGGCCACATCAGTTGTTTGGAGAACCTAGCGGATGTTTTGGTGAGTGGCCTACAAAGGGGACACCTTCACATCACCTTCCACTTCTTCTGAAAGTCAACCTCAACATAAATATTTCCAAAGTTCCTGAGACCACAAATACATCGCAAATACATCGACATACTAATCAATCAAAACCTCTCACACTTAGGCATACCTTCCCTCAACACCAGCAGACAGACAAATCGATATACATATGAACTCGAGACCCTGCATGAAATGAAACAGATTCAACGCACATATACGTCTCCTCATAAACCAATTCGTACAGGAAAGGTGAAAAAAGGAGACAAGCATATGTGACAATAGGAACGACTCAAGAGGACAAATTTGAACTAACATACATTTTGACGACGCAAACCTTTATAACTCACAACAACAAACAACCAATTATCTTGGTAGACATCCAAACTAGATCCCACTTGACCCCAATTGCTCACTTAGATCCTCTTTCAGCAAGAAAGACATTGCCAGCGTAATCCATTTCTGGACCAAACTCTGTCAACCACTGAGTCCTGATACTAACCTTCCTTATCTCAGCTACATCCTAAATACCTCAAAATCGCATACTTTCTTACGTCTTGGAAACAGGCAAACACTATTGTGATCGCTGAACAACGCAAATCCAGAATCACACAGACCATTAGTATCCTTAGCTACCCAAGTAAACTTCTTCAAAGACTAGACTACACTAACTCCTCTCCAAAACCAACACAATTTCAATGCACCAACATGGTTTCCTCCTCGAACACTCTATTCGAAACGTTCTCATCGAACTTCCCATCTACATCGGTCGCCGTCTTACTCGATAGTCGAAAAGCTTTCGATAAGGCTTCATTTGGAAGCTCATCCACATAGACGTACCGCTTCATCAGGCTGATTGCCTCCTATATCTCTACTCTCCTAACCCCAAAAGTTACAGTCCATCAGGGCTATGTCTTGTCTATGTCACCCTTCTGAATTTTCCGCCACGGTGCTCCTACGAGACAAAAAATTCTTTACTACGACGATGACACAAATACTTGCATACTACAAATCCAATACCAAACCATGAAAAACTGCTTTGTACACTGATGTAGCAGGTAAAATAAACCCTACCAAAATACAAACCATTCTTTATCGACACCCTGACATCACTACATGTCCAAGACTCACTACTAATACTACTTTTAGGAGAGAATCTCTCACTCCAAGAATTGGGTGACCTATCTGGAAGTAACTTTCACATAGACCCTCCACTGGAGAACCGACCTAAACGACATCCTAGACAGAGGAAATAAACCCTCTATATATCCATAGTCTTCCCTTTCGATATCCCTCCAACGCTCTTGCTTGCTTCAGCTAGACTTCTAGGAACACTGGAAGATATCCCGCTGCGGTTCCTTGATATGCTGAATGAGTTCTCGCTTGGTATCAAGTAGTGGGTTAGCCTACAGTAGGAAAATCAGAACTCGAAATCTACCTCAGAGCATATCTGTTTCAAATGCCGCCGAAAACTCATCCTAGCGATTGTACACCGACTGCTTTACACCAACAAGTAAAAGACCCTCGTCACACCAAAAAGGGAGTGAGAATTACGATGCCCAAAGATCAACCTAACCTCTAACCCACTAACAGAATTTATTTGTCTCTAAAATCCGGACTGGTTATTACAAGATTCCTATGGCTGGGATTTAATTAAATAATAGAATGAATGTTATTTACGTACCATCATCGATGANACGCTAACATATTTTGGAAAAAGAACAGAAATTATCGCAGGTTTCTTCAGAAAAAACAAAGTGGAAGTAGCTTTCAGACCACATGCCAGGTTATCTCATTTTCTTTTCAATGCCAATGCCATATTCATCAATTGCCTCAAAAATGATTTCCGCTGTGATAATAGTAACAATAAGGAACAAAAAGAAATGAATATTTGGAAAACACAATGATCTCGACACGAAGAATTGGAAGTAGGACGATTTTCACTGCCAGTGAGTCAAAACTAGGAAAATGTTATCTTCGAATAAACAACTTAAAAAGCTAGGAGGCGAGATGAAGATAACAGATAGTAAATTGGAGAGCATCATCAACCGTGTAGAGAATTATTCCAGTCAGTTCTTTGATAATGAAGAACTCATCTCCTGGACAAGGATTTCAAATTCATAAGTAACAGAATTATTTCCAGTTCGTTGTTCTTTTAAAACAGCATGATAGTACGGAAATCCGTTATCGCCTTGCATAGCTAATTTGATCATGCACAAATTCGAAATAGAAGCAAGAAAGTTAGGTTACTTTCATCGGACTTGCATCCTTTGTTTGCGACAAACAAAGGCCTACAAAAATCTCACCGCCTGGCTCTACAGAGAAATCTTAATGACCTTTTCTGCAGAATAAAAATCGACTCGAGTCGAGTTTGATTACTTACCCCGCAGAACGGAATCCAATATCTCAGATGTGATTCTACTAATGAATAATAAACAGATTTAGCTGCAGTTAGTCCTACTTCACAGCATAACATCCAGATGAAAGTTTTTTGTTAAGTGATAGTATGTGATCCTCAAACTTATTATCAACTTATTATCAATTAATAGCCCAAGAAAGTTGTTGCATGACGTGTTTTCAATCACAATCGAATTCGAAGCTAGAGGGATATTATCAAAAATGCAATAATGGATAAAACTTTGGTTTTTGAAACATTGAAAGCTTATAAATTTCCCTTACACCAATCTTCTGTGTCTCGTCTCAACGTATCTCAAAATAAAAAGTTCATATATGACATTCTAACACACAGAAAGAATACTAGCACTTTTAGATTTATCTCGGATAACTACAACTAGAGTCCATTTCAAAAAAATGGCGGGGCTACATTTTCTTGTCTATAGACTAGTCACGTTCCTCATGACCAAAGAAAAATATCCATTGAAGAAAGCTATCAAGGAAATATCTGAAAGAAATGGGTGTTAGCTTACCGTAGCAGGATTTGCGATCTCTGGCTAAAAAGAATCCTTCAAGACAAGAACATCTATTCGGTCCTTTGGGATTACAAATATGAGCACACCCGCCTCTATTCTTTCTACATCTTCCTACATTCCTACCATATTTCACATTTATCGTTTTATTTCCAGTACCGGATGGAAGTTTCGCTGGAAAAATAAGGTCATAAAAAGAAGTCTTTTAAAAAATTTTCATTAGTTCAACCACAGTTATGAGAGAAAGAACGACCAAACTATTTTCTGGATATTTGGGTTATTTTCATCCAATACGTTGTAAATTCTCCACAAGCACTGCTCCCACTGACGATGTCAATAAAATTGACAAAACGGGTGTTGAGAAGAGTGGGGGCGGTGTTTGTGGTAGATTAATTTCTCGCCAGAGATTTCAGTTCCACTTCCTTCAGTAATGCTTACCAGTGTTTGTGAACGATGTTGGTACTCCAGAAGTAATCGGAATGGGAGCTACTAAATTTTCCGCCCAAAAATTTGTAGACGAAAAACTCTCCTTTGAATGTATATTACTCAAGTTCTCTGACTCTGCGTTGGTAGAGGAGTTATTCAAGTACGAAATTTTTGGAAGAAACATTTCTGTCGAAGTAGCCATTTCAAGTTTTGTTTGTGCTGGTTTCCCTTTCCGTTTACGCTTTTTGAGTTTTCTTCTTCTTTTCCTAATTTTCTGTTTCGTATTTGATCGTGTAGTAGTTTCTGTAATTGTTCCAGTTGATTCTGTGGTTTCAGAAGCTTCTGAAAAATTAGTAATAATAATTAGTCAATTAGTTGATACAATTAACACGTGTTGGGGAACATTGGAAAGTGGAATGTTTACAGGGTCGGATTGGATATATAGTCATTTGCATTCTGGTCACCAGCCTGGGCAGGCCCGTAACGCTACCTATCTCTGGCTTGTGAGGGAGAGTCACTTCCTGCTGACCACTTTATCCTGAGCTCGTGACTTACACGCCATCTGGACCCTTCTGGCCCAATCCGACCCTGGATGTTCATCAAATTAAACCTGTATCATATAGACCAATAAATAGGTACTTTTCTTTCATTTATTTTTCAAAATATCTTAAAATTTGAGAAGACATGCAATATGTACTTACACACTCTGCTCGATAAATAATGCTGTACTTTATACATTGATGCTGTTAATTTTTTTTCCAAATTTTAATTTTGCCTCTTTTCAGCTTATACAACCACGTTTTGATGATGAGGAATGACATTTTTCCTTGTCGTTTGTGCTTTTGTTGAATTAAAATTGATATTTTATTAGAATTTTTTGCTATTGAAAACACACACTTTCTGTTGTTTATTGAAAACTGTTTTTCATTAATTTCTCTTCGAAATCCTAAATAATCACACTTTTAAAGACTAATTCACATATTTTTTTCAATAGAAACAACATTTTTACTCTCAAATTTCTCATCGTCTAACCTAACTCAATAAGTAATCCAAATGAGCTAACCTACAACCACTTTCTGATGATGAAAAACGAGGTTTTTTGTTGTCATTTGCTTTTATTGAATTAAAATTACAATTTAATTAACATTTTTGCTATTGAAAACAAACCAAAACGCATTTTCAGCTTATATGATGTCGTTAAGCGGCTAATTTTTCCCAACGAATTCAAACTGAACCAAAGCGCTGCCGAAACTGCCCAAAAAATTAAACAGGCATTATTCAATGAGAGTGTTAATGAATGCATTATTCGAAGTTGGTCTGCGAAATTTCGTTCCGGATTTTTCAGCCTCGAAGATGAGCCCCGTATTGGTCAACCTACCTTTGCATATCCTGGAAAAGACTAGAGCAGTCATATTGATAGATGTGAAAACCGCCTTCAATACGGCAAAATGCCACCTAATTGTACATGTCGGATAGAAAAGTACAAACGGGCAAGTATGTGCAGGAACTGACACCGGGAGTCCCACAGGGTTCGGTCCTTGGACCCACCCCGTGGAACATATTATACGATGGAGTACTTATACTCACTTTGCCGCACAATCGCCACACCGTAGCGTATGTCGACGACCTGGCACTGGTGTTTATAGCAAACAGAAAGGGCGACCTCGTGACAAATGGAAACCTGGCAGCAGAAAGTATCATAACTTGGATGTCGATTAATAGACTAGAGTTAGCCCCTTGAAAAACAGAGGTGATTATCCTCAGGGGCCCTAGGAAAAAGGAATGACATCAGTTTTCAAATTCAAGGGTATCGATAGCCCCAAAGAAGTTCGTTAAGTACCTCAGTGTTTAGCTTGATGCAGGCAGATATGGAATGAGCATATCAGGCAAACATGTGCAAAAGTTGACAGACAAACTACGGCACTTACAGAGCTGCTACCAAACATCAGAGGAACAGGCAATCAAAAAAGTCGCTTATTATATGGAGTTGTGCAATCAACAATTCTCTACGGAACCTCGGCATGGAAACAAGTAATGAAGGTAGCAGGAAACAAAGAGGAGGATGCTCTTGAGAGTGGCTGCCGCCTACAGAACGGTCTCGCAGGAGACAATCTGCGTCCTGACCAGTACCTTTCCCATAGACCTATTGGTAGGAGAGAGATCTCGTTTGGAAAACAGGATCGAAGTAACTGCTGCGGCAATGGCACAGAACATGGAACGAAAACACGTCTACGCCCCAGTGGACCAAAAAACTGATTCCCGATTTAGCGCCTTAGCTGGACTGCCCATTTAAAAGCATACGTCACACAGGCACCAGCGGGCATGGCAGTTTGCGCAGCTACACGCTCAGAATTGGGAAGACTGCAAACGACAGCAGCATATACTATGAGCAAAGAGATGACCCAACAACAAAATATTCCATTGCAATAGATGGATAATAGCAAGGACAAATCTGGAAATGAAGTGGAGCATCCAAATAACGCCAAATAATTTGATCATGAATATGCTATCAAGCAGAGAGAAATGGGAAAGGGGTGTCAACTTCTAAAGACAGACAATGAAAACAAAAGAGGAGGATGAATGGGAAAACCAGATACGCGAGGAAGAATAACGCTGGATGAAATGCCGGAACTGATACGGAACAGAAAAAACAACAAGTAATGACTCCTATCGCATTTGAAGCTATATCCTCCCGGACAGTCACAAATGCGAAAGGGGAAAGTGGTGGTTTTAGCCGGTAGGAGTCCGGCACTGCTGACTTCACTACACCAAAAAAAGGTTAGGTTAGGTCAGGTTAGGTAAGGTATAACAGTATAATAACCCTTTGTAATTATTATAAAATTCTTACTTAGGTTCTTAGATGATGTAAAATTTCTAGGAGAATCTACCAAATTTTCCAGCCACAATACATTCAAGGTCGTATTTGCTTGAATGTCCTTGAACTCCTCCAAACTAGTCTCTGGATTCTCGTTCAGTTTTTTTATGATATCCTTGATGATTGAATTATTCAGTTTTGAATCCGATGTTGGACTTGAACCTTTAGCCATAACTATTTCGAGAATGTTAGCGTTTTTGTGGAGAGGTTTACGTCTGCGTCTTTTATGTTTTCCAGTTCGTTTTTTTACTGTTCTTTGTAATGCTGTTCGATCAGTAAAATTTACAATGAAACATTAAAAACATTAAAACTCACTTCTGCATTCTCCTTCTTGTTGCCCTTCCCATTCTCCATATAAACCACACGTTACATGGTATTCTCCAAACATTCTATAACCAACAGGGCAAACAAGTTCACATATGGTTCCTGGGCTGTTAGTTGTTCTTACTCGTCCATTTCTTGAGCAAGTAATGAATCCTTTGGTTGGCGGGAATAATGGTTTGCAGGCAATATTATCCAAAGGCTGGTCATTTTGGAAATCGGGATGTCCTGTACACTGATAAGAAGCGAGGGTATTGATGCAATGTTCTCCACAAAGTTTTTTGATATCTTCATCTTCGCATTCGTTTATATCTAAAAAGAGTGACACGAGCACATATACATACAATTTGGTAACACAAATTCCAACCCCAATAGCCATTGCTCCCTAATTACCTACCAAAACATAAGATCTACATAATTCCGTGCCTGGACTCGACAATTTTGGGTCACCAAAGAACCCCGATCATTGGCCACATCAGTTGTTTGGAGAACCTAGTGGATGTTTTGGTGAGTGGTCTACAAAGGGGACACCTTCACATCACCTTCCACTTCTTCTGAAAGTCAACTTCAACATCAATATTTCCAAAGTTCCTGAGACCACAAATACATCGCAAATACATCGACATACTAATCAATCAAAACCTCTCACACTTAGGCATACCTTCCCTCAACACCAGCAGACAGACGAATCGATATACATATGAACTCGAGACCCTGCATGAAATGAAACAGATTCAACGCACATATAAGTCTCCCCATAAACCAATTGGTATAGAAAAGGTGACAGAAGAGGAGACAAGCAGATGTGACTATAGGAATGACTCAAGAGAACAAATTTGAATCAACATACATTTTGACGACGCAAACCTTTACAACTCACAACAACAAGTAACTAATTATCTTGGTAGACATCCAAACTAGATCCCACTTGACCCCAAATGCTCACTTAGATCATCTTTCAGCAAGAAAGACATTCCCAGCGTAATCCATTTCTGGACCAGACTCTGTCAACCACTGAGTCCTGATACCAACCTTCCTCATCTCAGCTACATCCTAAATACCTCAAAATCGCATACTTTCTTACGTCTTGGAAACAGGCAAACACTATTGTGATCGCTGAACAACGCAAATCCAGAATCACACAGACCATTAGTATCCTTAGCTACCCAAGTAAACTTCTTCAAAGACTAGACTACACTAACTCCTCTCCAAAACCAACACAATTTCAATGCACCAACATGGTTTCCTCCTCGAACACTCTATTCGAAACGTTCTCATCGAACTTCCCATCTACATCGGTCGCCGTCTTACTCGATAGTCGAAAAGCTTTCGATAAGGCTTCATTTGGAAGCTCATTCACATAGACGTACCGCTTCATCAGGCTGATTGCCTCCTATATCTCTACTCTCCTAACCCCAAAAGTTACAGTCCATCAGGGCTATGTCTTGTCTATGTCACCCTTCTGAATTTTCCGCCACGGTGCTCCTACGAGACAAAAAATTCTTCACTACGACGATGACACAAATACTTGCATACTACAAATCCAATACCAAACCATGAAAAACTGCTTTGTACACTGATGTAGCAGGTAAAATAAACCCTACCAAAATACAAACCATTCTTCATCGACACCCTGACATCACTACATGTCCAAGACTCACTACTAATACTACTTTTAGGAGAGAATCTCTCACTTCAAGACTTGGCTGACCTATCTGGAAGTAACTTTCACATGGACCCTCCAATGGAAAACCAGCTTAAATAACATCCTAGATAGAGGAAATAAACCCTCTATATATCCATAGTCTTCCCTTTCGATATTCCTCCAACGGAGCCCCTGCTTGCTTCAGCTAGATTTCTAGGAGCACTGGAAGATATCCCGCTGCGGTTCCTTGATTGCTGAATGAGTTCTCGCTTGGTATCAAGTAGTGGGTTACCCTACAGTAGCAAAATCAGAACTCGAAATCTACCTCAGGGCATATCTGTTTCAAATGCCGCCGAAAACTCATCCTAGCGATTGTACACCGACTGCTTTACACCAACAAGTAAAAGACCCTCGTCACACCAAAAAGGGAGTGAGAATTACGATGCCCAAAGACCAACCTAACCTCTAACCCACTAACATTGAATTTATTTGTCTCTAAAATCCGGACTGGTTATTACAAGATTCCTATGGCAGGGATTTAATCAAATAAGAGAATGAATGTTATTTACATACCATCATCGATGACGGATGGATTGAGCCCATTCCGTGACAAAAAGTGGTAATTATGAACGAATGTTATCCGTATTTGTTACTGCAGAGCTCATGAAAAAAGTAACTAAACATCGGATGTCTAGCAGCGAGGATGACAGTGTTCGATGTGAGTGAAATTTTACCTCTTTCATTGATTATATTGTGTAGGAATCCTGTGAATGATATCTGGTTCGATTCCATTACGAATGTTTGGAATACAAACGGAAAAAAGAAATGTGTTTTTCATACAGGGTGTTAATTAAGTGTGTACCATAAATTCAACAGACGATTCTTTAGGTAATTTTAAGACGAAATGTTCATATAAACATGGGTCCGCAAATGCTTCGTTCTCAAGATACAGGGTGTTAAAATAAAAAATATCTTAAATATCCTTTACCTGATTTTGTTGTAATTTGGCAATGGT